AGTCAGGATATTCAATCTTCATCAAGTCATTAACTCAGGGGGAGTATCATAAAAAGGATAAGTTTTCCTTACCTTTCTATTTTCACTTTTTCTGATTATATGAACAAAATAGTGTCATCAAAATACATAGTTTTGTCATCATCAAAAAGGGGGAGATTGTAAGAACAAGAATTGGTTCTGCAATGTCATCTATGAGTTTTGATGATAACAAATGAGTATGTTTGTATGAACAATCTTGATACTCTAATGTTTGTTAGTGTTGAGTACTTAGCAAACAGGTTCTGCTTCTGATGGAGGGTGTGGCAAAGACATTAGAAGAGAATTAGTTCTGCTTCTGCACTATACAAGTTATGTTGAATAGTAGCAAGACACTCCAGAAGGATCTGAAGTGTAAGCTCTGATTTTTGTCTAAAGAAACCAGTCAGAAGATATAAAGACAGAAGTTTCTACTTAAGTCCAGATGCTGAAGACTCATGTTTCTGAAGACAACGGGTTCTAAAGAAACCGCCAGAAGATCTGAAGACATGAGTTTCTACTCAAGTCTGGATGCTAAAGACTTAAGTTTCTAAAGACCCAAGGTTTTAAAGATAATGGTTCTAAATACTAAGTGTTGAAGACTCTAAAGATAGATGTTCTAAAGATTCTAAAGACTTGAAGTTCTAAAGACTCGAGGTTCCAAGAAAAGGTTCTCACAACCAAGTGTTAAAGACTCTGAAGATGCAGTTATGGAGACTTGAAGTTCTGAAGACCTTGTGTTGTGTTCTCGCTTCTAAACTCATGCTTGCAGAGGCCTTTGAAGTGCAGAAGGAAAGAAGATAATGTTAACATAGTACAAATAGTACATGGTAAAATCAACGTCTCATTCCACAACCATGAAAGGACGGATGCATTGCACGATCTTGTCCCCCGGGTTATTGCTCAAGATGGAAAATGTTTGTGGAAATCCTAAGAGTACCCCTCAATGGATATATTATTTTATTGGCTATATAAAGGCTTGAAGACTAATAGAGAAAGCTTCAAATAAACAAAAAATCCACGCACAAAGCATTGTTCATAACTTTCATATTTTTTAGTCATTGTTCTTAAAATAGTTTACATATTCAGCTTGAGTAGAAGAAATATTCTTGTAAATAAAACTTGTATTTAAACAGATGTTTGATTTTTCCTTAAGGGACCGAGTAGGTATGTATCCTTAAGAAGTCTAGGACTTGTTTGTCATAGAGGTTGTTAGTCACTTGCAGGTAGCTTGTACGGGATTTTCCTTAAGGGACCGGGTAGGTATGTATCCTTAAGAAGTCTAGAATTTATGTGTCTTAGAGGTTGTTAGTCACTTACGGGTAGCTTATGCAAATTGTAATCAGTTTGGTTATAGTGAATTAAGTCCTCGATTGAGTGAGGCGAAATCACCTTGGTGGGTGGACTAGACTAGCTTGATAATTTTCAAGTGAACTAGTATAAACATACCTTGTTATTTACTTCTTGTTCTTACTTATTGTTATTATCAAGAGTGAAGGAAAAAGTATTTTAACTTAAAGGGGAATAATATTTTTATAGAAAAGTTTTTTTATTTAAAACCCAATTCAAACCCCCCTTTCTTGTGTTTTTCACACCTTCAAGTTTTTGGATGAATGCATAATTTAGTCTATTATTTGCAAGATTGTGGATGAGTGTTTTTTGTCCCTCACCTTTGTGTGTTATTCATCTACCAATGAATTTTTACTAGGTGTAATTCATGATTGAGCTTGTTTTGTTTTAGAATGTTTAGTATGATTTTTGTACTTAAGATTCGTTTCATTTACATGTTGTCATTTTAGGATTGTGGTAAGTATTTACCTTGTATGTGCGTTTTTGTTTGAACCATACATTTGTTTTCCGTTTTTAAAACTTGTTGATTCATGATATTTTGGTTGATTACTGTTGGTTCTTTGATTTGTTTGGCCTTGCTTGAGGACAAACAAGTTCAAGTTGGGAAGAGTTTGATAAGTGCAAATTGTAGCTATTTTTGTATATACTTTTTGTTACACTTATCGACTCATTATTGTTAATATTGTTGCATAAACCCAACTTTTGTGTAAATACGTTTAGTTTGTATTTATTTGTGTTTTTGTGTACATAGTGTACCATTTGATATTTTTCTATTTATTTTGTAGGTGTTTGTTTGATTTTGGAGCATTGAGGAATAAGGTGTCGAAGGCACGGCTCTGAATGCACGTTTTCAGAATAAAATACCAGTTTTGGGAACTTATGTCCAGGAGAGCCTGCTTAGAGCGCAGAAGGCCGCTAAGCGCAAGTGCGCTCTGTGCATTTTGTAGCGCACTGCTTGCGTTTTAACATTTTGGAAGAAGCATTGTTTTAAAGCCCTCTTAGCGTGGATAACGCGCTTAGCGTGGTTTAGGGAGGTTTGATGTGTAAAATAAATAAGTAGCGCTTAGCGCGCCAAGCCCGCTTAGTGCGGTCTGCTGAGATTTATGTTATAACTTCAGATTTAGTTCACTTTTTGGTTATATTTTTGGGGAAGTTTTTGCTCCCAACTCCATCAACCTCCTACTTTGTTAGGATTAGCTAAGATAACAACTATGGAGCTTGCATATGGATGATACAGGGTGGATTTCTCTTTGATCGGCACTAATAAACCGGTAGATTTGTGGTTCATTTCTCTTTTTCTTTGTGTATTCTCTTATGGTTGGGTTTTATACAGTAGGTGTTGTGTTTGAAACATGATGACATTGATGAATATTGTAGGTTTAGTATAACAGGTCGATAGGTTTAAGTCTGTGAGAAGTAGTATATATGCATGCTTGATAAGTTATTCCTTTTTCCTTTTTATAGATTTATTTTCTGTTGATACTTTTCCTTTCAACCCATTTATCCTCAAACTCATTAACAATAGATTTGTCGAATGGCATTTCAATACACCAATCTCTGTGGACACAATACAATATAATCTAAATATCACCCAGTAAATTAATAACTTACTTTTTGCTTATCACTTTACCATATCCAGCAAAATGGTGTTGTTGTCGGGGATTGATATTTAATGTTTTGCATTGCGATAAGTTTCTTTGTTTTTGAGTTTTGCAATTAATGTATATGTTATATAGACTGTGTACATAAACTTATCTATTTTTACTCGTACATGTTTTGTGTTTACTTTCCAAACTTGTGCATATATATATGTGTTTTTCTTTGTTTTCACGTATTATTGTGAATTGTCTCGTTTTCCTAACGTTTGTTGTGTGGTTGTTAGGATACTTTCTTTAGGTTTGTGCGGTGTGACAATATCATGGCATCACGAGAGGAGGTTACTAGCTCTCAATTTAAAGGCGTCGAGCTTACGACGTAAAACAAGCATGATTTGTTTGTATTCGTTTATGTATGTGTTGACTTGTGCTTTAACAAGTTGAAATTGGACCTGTTTTAAATTTTCAAATTTTCACTTTTAAACTTGTTAATTCACTTTCACCTATTTGTGTTGTTATGTCAATTTGTGTTTTTCCACAAGCTTGTCGTGTTTAGCTTGAGGTCTGTTGTCGGTTGTAATTATTGTGTATTTGAGATTGTGTAGGTGATTTTGGAGGGTGTTACTGCACTGCTGTTGTTGTCCTGGTTTTTCTGCAATTGGTATAGCGCGCTTAGCGTGCTCTGTGCTGCTTAGCACGCCCTGTTGTACAGAGCAAGTGAATTCTTTTTTAACTTTTCGTTTGGCTCTCCTTTTTCCCACTTCACCCAAGACTTTATAGTATAGTAATTAATAAAAATACTTTTAATTCTTTCTTTTGTTGTTTGGACTCAAATTTTGGTAGATATCTTGAAGTCACATTTGGTGATTTTTCGATTTTGAGTGTGTCAACTTGCAGATGTATGGTAATGATAGTTTTTGAAGTTGGTACTCGCCAGGTACTCTTTTATTGCTTTCTATAACATAACATATTTAGGAAATTTATAATTTGTATAATTACCATGCCATTCATTCTTTTTGCATTACTTGCTCATGACTTGAATCACTTTAGTTCCCTTTTTACCCATAATTATGAGGAAGCTTTCCATTATTCATATATGCCGGAAGCCACAATTCTTGTTTTAACTAAATTTTATTATGTTTAATCTTCTATTTATGTTGATTGTATGAAAGTTTGAACGTGATCAAGGCATTTTTTGTTTCATTTTGAGCACAACTACCCTAGCCAAATAGTCCATTCACTTTGTAAGTGTGTGAACTTTTTCTAACCCCTTTTGACCCTTTTTGTCAATGTCCATGTTGTTTTAGCTAAATGCTTGTCAATGAGTGTTTGGTTCATCCTTTTGTATAGATGTTGATTCTTTGTTTTCTTGAACCCTTAACTATGATTTGTAGTTTGAGTTTTTGTCTTGCCTTAGAAAGTATGGAGTATTCACATTATGATATGGTTGAATTCAAGTTGGGGAGAGAAATATTTATGTGCTTATGTTGTGATTGCTACGAGGTTGTGAAACAAAAAAGAAAGAAAAAGAAAAAAAGTGAAAAAGAAAGAAAAGAAAAATAAAAAATTGAAAATTGAAAAAGCTTTGAAAAATAAAAACAAAAAGAGTAGAATAATACTATGTTAATAAGTGATGTGTTTTGGTTTGATAAATTTGGAATGAAGAAGAAGTTTGATTATAATTATTTTGCTTGAGTCTTTGTGAGTTGATCACTCCCTTAGGTTAAGACAAGTTTTTGTTTCGATTAGTGTTAGGACTTATCCCTTGTTTGTTAATCAAGCCAGATTACAGCCTTGAAAAGCCCTTGTTATTCTTGCCTTTGTATCTTCAATATGAGTTTTTGGATGAATGCATAATTTAGTCTATTGTTTGCAAGATTGTGGATGAGTGTTTTTTTTTCCATCACCTTTGCATGTTATTCATCTACCGATGATTTTTTACTAGGTGTGATTCATGATTGAGCTTGTTTTGTTTTAGAATGTTTAGTATGATTTTTGTACTTAGGATTTGTTTCATTTATATGTTGTTGTTATAGGATTATGGTAAGTATTTACCTTGTGTGTGTGTTTTCATTTGAACCATACATTTGTTTTTCGTTTTAAAACTTGTTGATTCATGATATTTTGGTTGATTACTTTTGGTTCTTTGAGTTGTTTGGCCTTGTTTGAGGAAAAATAAGTTCAAGTTGGGAAGATTTTGATAAGTTCAAATTGTATCTATTTTTGTATATACTTTTTGTTAAACTTATCGACTCTTTATTGTTAATATTAGATGTTGCTATCTTTTGTTTCCATCCAAAGCCAATATTGGATGTTGTAATCTTTTCTCTTGTCTAAAGCCATTCTTAAACGTTGAGTTCTCCCTTCATCTAAAGCCAATATTGGATGTCATGTTTCTTTTTCGTCCAGCGTCTTTCCTGGACGAATCTGACGTAACTTCAGATTTAGTCTCAGCCCACATCTAATGCTCTTCTAGATGTGTCTGATTGTTTTTTCCAGAGAGTTGCTCGCCTCATTCAATATCATTCTTGGATGTCGCTGCTTGCCTTTTCAGGGTTTGTCTCCCCTTCTCAAGTATTTCTGGTTCGTCCTTGTCACCTTGACGGATATCCAAAATATCTTGTATTCCTCAGCGTGTCTTTCCACGTCATTTCATCTGAACTGCCATAAGTTTCCAGTTTCAAGTCTTTCCATATTCCCAGAGTCTGTCTCATATCATACATCATTCAAAAAATATATATGTCAAAAAAGAGCATGCATTCATTCATAACATATGCTATCATCTCATCGCATCAGGGACGAAATTCGGGTCTGTTTGTATTTAATTACTTTCCGCCTATCTGGCTAAAAGATAATTAAATAGGGGTAGCTGTTGTATCCTAAATTTCGCCCCTAATTTTTTCAGTCGCACTTTCATATCATATTTTGTTATTTGGTCACAATCATTAATAGATATCTTCATTCATCACATTTTGCATATCCAGTCGTATTTAAGTTGACCAAAAGTCTGTTTAAATTGACATTTGCATCATTTTGTAGTTGAAAAAACCTGACATTTCACTTTATGCATTTTTATCTCTTTACTATTTTCTTGCATTGCTCCAAGTTGTTTATATGTCGATAATAAAAATATTTCGGTTTTACAGACATATTGTTAAAAGCGATTTGACACTGTGCAAAAAATTAGCGAGAAAAATATTTCAAGTTTTCACCTTTTACTGGTCATTTTATGAATCCGTGTTTCGCGTGGATTATGATGGTGTGCTTGCTTTATTTTTTCGGTACAGTTTGAAGTCTCGTTTTTAACCGTAAACGTCTGTTCAACCTAATATTTTTATTATCATTTTATTCCTATTTTGACTTTTTGAATATTTTTTCTTTAACCTTCACGACATGTAGTTTATTTTTATGTGTTCATTTTATTTTTTCGGATGAATTTTCGTCCATTTTTTATCGTTTTTGATCATTTTAAGTCTTTATTTTTTATTCAGAAAAAAATCAAAAAATTATTTTAAATTGAGTTTATTTTAATTCTTTCAGATTTTTTAGTTATTTTATCATTTAAGGGGCTTTTTGATCACAAAAATATATTGATTGCACTATGTTTGACTCTCATTGGTTGTTGCCAACAGTTACGGATCAATAGAAAATTAAAGGAAATCAGTGGATCTGATTAATTTGAAATCATTTTTTCCCTCTTCATTTTCCTATTTAAACAACCTCATATTTTCTTTGTAAATCACAAAACAACTAACAGTAAACCAATTACTTCCTCTCTCCCGCGCCTCTTTCAATTACCCATATTCTGTTCCCAATTTCCTGCCATCGTAATCCACCCTTCTCCAACCATCATCACACCTTCACACAAATTCCCTTCATTCCTCGCGAGAAAGCAATCCCCAACCTCTCCTTCTCTCTGCGCGCCCTTCATCCTCCCATCCATCTCCTTTCAATTTCAACAAATTCCTCTTCTTCACACATCACTGTTAATACCCACCATTACCATCACAAACCCATTCCACCGTGAATAATCCACCTCTAATACCCTTCAATTACCGCCCAATAAACAGCAACCCTCTCTCTCGCTGTTGTACGCAGCATACTCCCACCGCCCAACATCAATCCTTCGCCGCCCATCTCCCATACTACCTTCAATTTCGGCCCCTGTTTCTTCTTCATCAACACTGCCCTTAGTGCTTACCGATGTGCAACATATTTCTGCTCTCTTTCTGCAACAACTATTCACAACTCAACCTACATCATCGCCTTCATCCAATATCACGAGCCTTCGTCCGCTTCTTAAGGAAACAGTTTCAGCAAATCAAGCTTTGGTTCTCCGCGAGCTTCAGTTTCCTGTCTCCGCAACCGTGTTGTTTCCAGCAAACCATCCGCGAGTTACTTCTGTTGTTCCGCTTTGTGATGCAGGTCTTCGTCTGATTCCCTCTGCCATCGTTGTGCTCGATAGGTACGAGTGATTGTTATACTGATAAATTATATGTGCTCAGTTTGATATTGGACTGTTGCTTGTTTTAGTTTTTTTTTTTATCTGAATTAGTAACTGTTATGCTATAATAATTATTGTTATAATTTATGTGAAAATTGTTCAAGTAGGAAACCGTTATGCTGCCATGATTGGTTTCTTGAGTTTAAATCTGGAAAAATTGGTTGTGCTGTGGTAAATTTTGAAAAAATAATGCTCAATATTCCTTTGGTTTCATTGTTATGCTAAAATTTTGTTTAACTTGCATTTGCCATGGTTGTATCGCTTTAATACCGTGTTGGTTTCAATTATCATGATAACATCGTGTTCGTTTGGTTTAAGTATGGTCATTGAAAATTCTGTTTTGAGTGTCTATATCATGCTATTTCCTTTTGTTACAAACCATGTTTGAATTGGAATTTTGGGACATAATAGTTTTATAGAGTTATTGCCCAATTTTTTTCAATTTGATCGCTTATGGCTTAATTCTAATTTGTTTTCCATGTTTTGAAGATGTTTTGAGTAGCACATGAATGGATACTAATTGTTTTTTTGAATACTCATAAATGGAATGAACATTTGAGTTTTTTTTTTAGAATTTAAATCCATGAGATTTTTTGTTGCTGTCCAACTTTTGATTTGTATGAATAATGCTTGATTTGAGCTTAATTTCTCATGGATTGAATTGAATAATATTCTTGATTTTTATTTGTGTAAATATTTATTTGTCATTGTGCATTCATGTGATTTCATTTTTATTTTATATTTTGTGATTACTAACATAGATTTTCATTGTTGCAATTTCCTTCATTTTATTTTTATACCGCTTATGCTACTCATGTGTTTGTTACTGTGAAGGTTTCCAAAAATCGTTTCAAGTATCCATTCACATAGCGCATCCATAATTCCTACACTTTCTCCTTTACCTCTTTATTGTATTTCACTATTTTGATTTAATATTTGGTACTGTAAATATATACCTATACATAATATTTTGACTGTATATTTTATTCACTTCACTTGTAAATAAATTCAGTTTATGTAAATATTATTTTTATCACATTACGATTTTAATTTTAATTCAAATTAACTTCTGAAAATCATACGAACGCATATAACTTTTCCTGTGTTGTTAGTTTTGTCTGTATATTTCATGTGCTGCGGGGAATCTTATACCGTGGGCTTTATTCAATATCTTGAGCCTTATTCGGTACCGTGAGCTTTATCCACGTTTTCTTCATCCGTGATTTATTTTCACGTGTTGCGATTTAATGCGTTTTATTCGCTGCTTGGATTATTATCTTACATCTGGTTTTTTGATGCTGTCAGCTTGTGATTTATTTTCACTTGAGGTTTGGTATACTCTTAGCTTATTTTTCTATCTGTGGCTTTAAACCCAAAAGGTTGGGAACATGGTATTGACTTCATCATGTCAAGTACTGGTTTCTTATTCGGTCGGATTCTCTTTACCTTATCTTTTACCCCTCTTGTACATAGGACACTCTTTTTATTTTCCCCGATTATTTCATTTTCAAAACCTTCTCATCTTTTTTTTCAAAATATTCTTTGTTTATAAACTCGAATCACTTTCATAATAAACCTCGATCTTGTCGAGTGCCTTTTCTTTTAAAACTTCTTTTCTTTAAACAAACTTCAATTCATTTAATCATACTTCGACATCTTTCAAAATTAATAAAAAAACACTTCAACTCATTCAAACCCTTTTGTACGCTCGAGCACCTTTACCCTTCAAAACTTTTCCAAGATGAGACATGATTCATTGATAGTCGAGCAACATTCTCCTATCCCCATGGTTATAAAGGTGTCGACTTTTCCACTTGAGTGCTAGAGGCATTCTCAAACCCTCACTCTTGCTGACGCAGGGTCCATCTTTCCCACACCTTGTGGGCGTTAGTCGAGATTTCTCTCCTACAATGACGAATTGTCTCTTCATTTAAAATCAATCAACACACAATTCTTTTCCAGTCGAACTACGGTGCTCTGACGTTCCCATTACACGAGGGAGTACATAGGCACTAAGTCTTACGACCCAAGGCAAGCAATAAAAATAATTAAAAAAACATTTCATTTTCTTTTGTGTGCAAATACTCATTCTTTCTTTTCCTTTAGCAAGTAAACCTTTATATAGCACTCCTTTTAAAAGAAACCAAACAAAGTGGATCCTACGGAGTACCGTAGATGCTTAGGGTGCTAACAACTTCCCTTTGCATAACCGACCCTCGTATCTCGATCTCTGATCTTTTATTTCATTATGGGTTTTGTTCGCTTTTTTCCCATTTCCCTTTGGAAACAATAAAGTGCGGTGTCGACTTCATTACGTTAATATAAATCAATTGATGGTTTAATCTCAAATATTTAACGCTACAATTCTTTTCCTATCATTACTGTCACAATTTCATTCATTTCTTTGTCTTTGACGACGGCGATTGATGCGTGACACACTTATCGACTCTTTATTGTTAATATCAATTGAATAACCCAACTTTGTGTATAAATACATTTAGTTTATGTATGATGCGTTTTCGTGTATAAAGTGTATCGTTTTATAATTTTGTATTCATTTTGTAGGTATTTGAGCATTGTTGGAGCAAGAGGAATAAAAGCTCCAAGACGCATTGTTTGATCAATAAAGGAATAAGGCCGAAAAGAGAGTCATTTGAAGTTGTGCAAAGAAAGAAACAAAAGTTGTTGGACTGGTGTGCATCTCCGGGTGATCGCTGGGCGAGGGGCATCGCTTTTGTGTCACTGGGTGACGAAGGAGTGAGAATGGACCAATTTTCTAGTTGATTCTGCCTTACTTCGCTGTTGTGTCACTGGGTAAGGAAGAGTAGCAGTTTCGGGCGACGTGAGTCTGTCGCTGAGAGAAAGTAGATATTTGTGGCCAGTTGCCCATGTAGCGCAGTCTGGGCTGAGAGTTTAGGTAGCATCGTCGGGCGATGGCCACGGAATAAATTTTCTTTATATTTCATTTTGTTTGGTTATGGTTTTTAGGTGCGGTTTTTGATCTCCCAACTCCACCAACCTCATTTTTGTAGTGGATTAGCTTAGATAACAACTATGGAGCTTGCATAGGGATGATCCGGGGTAGATTGCTCTTCAATTGGCATTGACAAACCGGTAGATTTGTGGTTCATTTCTCTTTTTCTTTGTGTATTCTCTATTGGTTGGGTTTGTATATGTATTTACTTTAAACTCATACAAATCTTTGTCGATTGTTGTCCTAGATTTTTGCTCTGTGCTTTGGTGTTTTGGTTGCTATAGACATATACTGCTTGAATTCTTGTCTAGGATGATTATCTAATAATGCCTGGATTCTAGAGATAGATTTAGCGCTATTATTCACTTGGGTGTCTGTAATTAATGCCTCTGTGTTGGTTGTGTTGATTGAGATATCGTTAACGCAAGTGGCACCATTGACTTTTGTGTTGTTAAGGTTGGTTGAGAGGTCTCCGCTGAGATGATATAGTGGGTGTAGTGTTTGACACGTGATGACATTGATGAGTATTGTAGGTTGAGTATAATTGGTCGATAGGTTTAAGTATGTGAAAATTAGTATATATGCACTCTTGATAAGTTTTTCTTTTTTTTTTTCTTTTTTTTTGTTTACATTTAATTTTTGTCGATAACTTTTATCCTTTTCCATTCAAACCCCCAAACTCATTAACGAATGATTTGTCGAAAGGAGACTCAATAACCAATCTCGATGGACACGATACAATATAACCTAAATATCACCCGATAAAATAATACTTTTCTTTTTGCTTACTGCTTTACCGCTTCAACAGCAGCCCAGGCAGAAACGCTGCTTGACTATAATCCACAATTCTATTTAAAACCTTGCTTAACCTGTTTTCCATCACCTTCGAAATCACTTTGTAAATGATTGTTCTGCAGGAGATAGGACGGAACTCTTTCACCATAGTAGCATTATGAGTCTTAGAAATGACAGTAACCAAAGTATTATTTATAGCCTTGTACATTTTTTCTTTGACAAATAATTCTTGCACAGCTTTTATAAGATCATGTTTGACCACATCCATGTTTCTTTGAAGAATTTGGATCCATAACCATCTATACCAGGAGCAATGTTATCATTAAAACTGTCAAGGGCGGTCTTGATCTTCTTTTCAGTCACAAGACTGATCAGCATATTCCCTTGCTCTCTAGAAACTTGTTTCCCATTTCTCATAGTGACCAAATTGACACCTTGCAAGCTACTAGCCTTTGTTCCAACAAGGTTTTATATAACAACAAAATTTCCTGCTCAATCTCCTCATGTTTGCTCAGTAGAGTTCCTTTGTCATTTATCAAACTCAAGATATTACTGTTGGAACATGTCCATGTTTCAATAATATTGAATTTAAAAATTTCTCAAGTCCCACATTGTTAGAATATTTTTTTTGGTTGAAAAAAACTATTTAGTCTCACATTGCTCATGTGAGAAATATTAACTATCCTACTTCACTATATAAGAAGTGCATATGTTTTATTCCAAAACACACCAAAAACTATTCTATTAGTTTTTCCTTCCTCACTCTCATAACTCTGCGTCTCTCGAATTGTCGAAGTGCTATCTTCTTCCCCTTTCTTGCTACTCGTTGAATTTTTCGAGTATTTTCTTGAATTCTCTTTAGAGAATTATGTTAATTTCTCCTCATTTGAGTTGAGAAATTTTCAAGTTTAATCTTTTGAATTCTCTTTGGAGAATTATTTGAATTTTTCTTTGTTAGAGAAATTATTATGAGTGGTCAAATGACCATTACTATATTCTCTTTGGAGAATTATTTGAGTTTCTTTTTGTTTGAGAAATTATTATGACTGGTCTTTGTACCAGATACTAAGAGTGGTGTTGATACCATATTTGAATGGTCTTGTACCATCAGAGGGTGTATTTCTAGACCGATTATCTATCATGCAAGTAGTAATCGTACAATATAGAACTGAGCTGTTTTATCCTGGAGGCGGCGTGGTAGT